TGCATTGTTATTATGAAAATATTAAGCTTTTTTTTTTTAGTTTGGTTTTAGGGAAAATAAAGATAGTGGGCCAATTCTATGTTAAATAAAAATAAAACACCATTAATTCAATGATAAAGCCCATTTAGTTCATTTCTGTTCTTTTTTTTCACCCTCTGACTCTCCCATGTCCTTCCAACTTCTTAAAGTCCCAAACTGTAAAGAACACCAGGAAGAATAAGTGAAATATAAAGTGGCAGGGACATGATTAATCCACGTCCCAGAATTGGTATCAGTGGGCCAATTAGGATTTTAGACAGTATAGAATTAACTCATCTAATATACTTAAGAATATTCCTACCTACTTGTGCGAATTCTACCCTTTGCCAGGCCCTTATCTGATCATCCGATGCTATTTATCAGAAAAGGAATTGTGTTCTTTAAAAATAAAAAAAATGGTATACATATGGATCCTCTGACGTCACAGACCACATGGAGACCAGGTGACTGAAACTGTTCATCTTTGGCCAGGAGAGTTAACTAGCACCAGGTGGCAATGTAAATGTCACTGGCAGGAAGAGGTTTGATAATCTTTCAATTTAAAGACAATTTTGTCATTTTGGCCATTGACTTGAAATAAAATTAAAACTTAACTACCATAGTAAGGTATTGGTTTATTAATGTGAATAAAATGAGAGTTCCTGTGGCCAGAATTCTCACCTGGCCCTGGTTGACTAGCTCATTGCACACCTGTGGGCAATTTGACTCTATATAAAGAGCTCCGCCCAGTGCTCAGCGCGCAGCACTGTGGCAGGGCTGCAAGGCTGCAGGAGAACAGAGCAGAGGCTGGAGTGGTGGCAGCGCTGAGGACAGAGGCCCCGAGGATGGCTGTGCAGGACAGCTGTGCAGGCAGAGGGGCCCAGAGGACAGCTGTGCGGACAGAGGGGCCCAGAAAGCAGAGACGGGCTTGCTGCATACAGACTCGCTCTGAGTGAACGGGATTCTAGTGACTGACCTGCCACCTGGAAATAAAGTTGGGTATAACCCTTTCACCCCAAAGAGCGTTTTGCTGTCATTTTATTTGGTCACATTGAATCCCATAGTGAACTTGCTCAGGGCTGAAACCCATTGGCAAGACAATTAATAGTCCAGGCTTAATTTTTAAATTAAGTCCTAGTTTTAAAACAGTTGAAAGTTCATGGCAAAATTGAGAGGAAAGTACAGAGTTGTCATATATCCAGACTCAATTTTAAGTCAGTCATTTAACTGGAATACACAATGGTCCACAAAATATATAGACTCATGATAACTGCCTATTAACAGTGTGTCATTACTTACTATTACAGAGCTGTGCAGATGAAATGCATTAAAATGAACCGAGTGAATATTTGGTTACAAATATAATACATTTAGATGAAGTCTTAAACGTCTGTCCTGCATTATTAGAATAATTTGACTGAGTATCAGTGATGTGTCGGTATAATAAGATATTTTAATATAAGTGAATGGGAATATTATCATTATTGTACCCTATTAGATGGATACATCTTCATAGTTTTTTTAGTTGCAAATTTTTACTAAAAACGGATTGAAATAAGGAAAGATGAGGGTAAAAAGGATGATCTAAACGTGTGTATTCCTTTTTTTTTTTTAACACATCAGTGACTTTTATTTATTATATGAGACTTACCAACACTGATTAAAGATCCTCATTTCAAATTGAGTTGCACAGCATTCAGTGGCCAAGTTGATTGGAATCCAGATCTTTCTGCTTAAGCGATGGTTTAGGGCTCACAGTGATTTTAAAGTAATTGGAATGCTGTTTACTGCTTCCCTTTTCTTTTAATTTCTATGTAGCAGCTAAATCAATTTCAGCTCACCAAGAGAAGGACCGAGGTGATTTGGTCCCAGGTGTTTTCTTGAATTTCCCATCAGAAATCTGTTGAGAGCAAGTTTTCTACTTCTAGGCTACTGGTCCTCAAACCATCATTTTTTGCCTCAGCTGTAAGCTTCATAGAAATGTAAATAGAGTCCTACTCTATATACTGAACCAGAATCTCTGGGGGTAGGGCCCAAGAAGCTTAACAAGTTTCTCAGGTAATTTTCATTGGAATTAAAGTTTGAGAACCACTGCCCGAGGCCACGGAGATATAAGGGAGACAGACAAAAAGTAGGTTAATGGGGCTGGAACAGTGAAGAGTACAGAGTTACCTTCCAATATCTTGAGTCAGCTGCAAACAGCCATTTGCTCCATATTTGATAGTGTTCTTAGAGAATTCTCTAGGATCACAGTGATAGTTTAAAAGGAGCCATAAAGTGTGTTAAGTGCATGTGAGTGAGGTCGAATGGTAACAACTAGATTCTGAATGACACACAAAAAATCTTATGCGTTGGAGAGAATAGAGAATGAGCTGATAATTCTTGGATAGTGTCCAAAGCTTACAATTTAATAGCATTAATTTGAAAATAGTATGGTACAACGATCAATTAAAAGCTGTGTTGCAAATTCATATTAATATAG